GGTGTCCCAATCATGTTGTGACGGTGTCTCGGTCATGTTTTGATGGTGCCCTGGTTATTTTGTGATGGTGTCCCGGTTATGTGATGATGGTGTCCAAGGAAGAGATTGGATGTGTTGAAAACAGCAGCTGTTTCCAGATTTTTCTTTTTGTCCCGGTTTGTATCTCGCTAATGGGGTCTCCAGCTGGGCTAATTAGAACAAGGGGCTGAGCACAGGATTGGATTTTCCATTCAACATTCTTGGAGCAACCCATGGTTGATGTTGTCATTCCCAGCGGAAAGGGAGGACGGGCCAGGCGGATGCACAAAATGCGCTTCTGTAATGGCAGCAATATGAGCATAGCTCAGCTAGGGTCTTACACCAAGCCGACCATCCTTGGAAGGGCATTCAAGTGCAACTTGGGTTGCCTGGGTGTTGAATATACCACATGTGGATGCTCGGACGAGGTGAACTCTTCGAGATGACCAAGAGGGTGGGTATGGCTGCGGCCTGGACCAACTTAGCACCTTGGAGTCCAGTTATGAGCGTTGAGGGAGGAGGAGAGCGCTCCTGTGGCGGAGTGGACAAATTCTGAAGCCCAAAAGCAGAGGTGTCGGCGGTGGACATTTCGTTTCCTGTGTCTGTGGTTCAAGTCAAAGACCAAGGAGGGATTTGCAAATGAAGCCATGCTTTGCATTGCACATGTGGGACACCTGGCGCTGCGAGTTGTTCCACCGTTGATACATCCTGAACAGGTTTGTTTGTCGAAAGCCACTGCCTGGTCCAATGAACTAGGACCTTCTGGATGGCAAACTCACAACCCAGCCGACCGGACGATGCCTGACTAGCCTACAGGCCTATAGGCTTGCGCAGTGAATATTTTCATAAGGTACCGTCATGCCAATGCCTTCCACCAGCCTTCCGCACGCTCCAGAAAACGCTTGACATTACCAACTTCTTTTTGAAACGATAGAAGTTGTCCCGCTGCACTCTAGCATACCTTTTGCTTGTAAGTCCTTGAAAAAGATGGGGGATCCTACCGCTTGTGATGATGATGATGCTGATGCTGATGCTGATGCCGTACACGTGCGGCAGTCCCCGGTCCACAATCCGTCCACCATCGGTCGATGAGGTGAGTAGCGGCTGAGCTGCAGCACGTGGAGTCGGTAGACAGGGCGATCAAGAGGGTGAACACCAATGCTACGACGTGACCATTTCTCTTCAGTGAACCACCCTAATGGTAGAGGACAAGCTGCAACCAGCTCAAATCTTTGCGAACTGTGTTCGCTGCTCTTGGTAGGGGGTTCGCTGTGATGAAGAGTGGTGAGGAAAAGCACCCCGAACATGGCTCATGGTGAATACCTGAAGTGGACATGGTCGTGAATCTATTCGAGTCTTAACTCCACAATGCCCAGAGACGCACAAAGAGTCCTTTCGCAATAAACAGACCCAGACGCCATCCTTTACCCAAAGCCTCACGATAAAGCGGTGGCTTTTCGTCGCCCAGCTGAAAAACAGCCCGTTTCTTCAAAGCTACTCGGTGAGTGAACGACTCTTCTTGGAGAGCGTGGTCCACTGTTCTCTTTTGGAACCTTGGCTTGTGGATGTTCAAGTTCCACGTCAAAACGGCAGATGCGATCTCTCCTGTTGAACCACCCAGTCTCCATGTCTGGCTAACATGAACCGTCATCCATCCTAAAACCAACGAACAGTTGGGGCAGCTTCCAAACTGCCCCTCAAGCCCCTCACCTCTCGTTTCCCTTCACCCCCTACCCACCGACACCAACCGCTACCCCACACAACACTCAGACCGCATCTATCAATTATAAACCCTTCCAGACCCCTTCCGGATCCCTTCCGGACCTCTTTCGGACCTCTTTCGGACCCTAAACCTCGGGGGTTTGGACCGAGGTTTCTATCCTTTCTGCATTCTCCTGCGCCTCTTCGAGGCCTTTTCGCTCCAGCCACGCTTGGCGGTGCCTTGGGCGCTCGAACTCGTTCGCTCGGTCGCTCGGTCGCTCGTTTCGGGGCCGGCGCGGTGGGCGAGGGTGGGACTTCGGTGGTGAAGAGACACATCCCAAAAAGGGCAGTGTCTCTTTGTGCTGTGGAAGAAGAGGAAGAGTTTTTGGTTCACTGCTTGCTTGTTCAAGTGCTGTTCAGGCATCTTCTAAGTCTTCAGGCCTCATAGATGTGATAGCATTTTGCTTGGCCAGAGAGGCTCTGAGAGAAGGGAGTGCACTGGAGCATTTGTCACCGCATGTTGCCATGTTGCTGCATGACACTTCTTCAGCAAATTTCATCTAATCTCTTGACCTTCGCGGGTGGAGGACTCACTCCATTCTATTCCAATGAGAAGCATTGATTTCTGAAGCCAAGAGTCTTAGACTGGGGACTGTTCGCCCAAAAAGGACGATGTGACTGTACCTGCGCTTTGACCGGTCACACAATATCTGGCAGCTACCAGCGTGGAGCCAACCACTGAAAAGACATTCTGCTTTTCACACATAGAGCCAACAAGCCAAGTGGCTGATCTTGGGTGAAGTTTCCTCGCAGAGAGACCTCAGGACCTGATTGCTGAGTGGACAGTCCGTTTGATGGTCATTCTCAGTGTCCAGAATCATCCTAAAATGTGCAAAAGCCTTGGTTCATCGACCACAAAAACGGGAACAGGCTGCGCCGAAAAAGGAAGAACAGGTGATGATCCATGGAATCTGCTGTGGTCGCTGTGGTCGCTGTGGCCTCTTAAGGTGGTGACTCGAACTCTTTGGGCCTCGGTGGTGGATTTGGCACCTCGGTGGTGGGTTTGTCGTGACGACACCGTGAATCCGGGGGCAGAGCGACGGGCGGGTTGGTGGAAAAATTGGACCAGGGCTGATGCCGTTTTGACCTTCTTCAATGCTCGAGTCGAAATCAGAAGATGCATGGAGGGATCATTTTTCTGTATATTGGCAGATTTGTTGCTCTTCCAAGAATCGAACTGCTCCATTCTTGGAGAAATCAATGGACTTTGAGTCTATCAGTCTGTCTACGAGTGTTTTCAAGCCGACCTGTTTGGGTGAAAGAACTTCTCCTTTGCAGTTGTGGTTTTCCATCAACGGAATCCGCAGTGGAGAGCTGTTGCCAAAGGATGCTAAAAATGCTAGGCCAAGGCACCCGCAGTTCTAGGGCCAGGAGGCCAAACACAGTTCTTTCATCCTGGCGGTGTAGTAGTCGATTTCATCAAAGCTGCCATTTTTTTAAACCGTTCCCATTTTGAGGGTGATCAATCAGGGTTTGCCTGAGCCACTCCAATAACTCTGTTCGCGACGCATATCGGCCTCAGCAAAGAGGGAGGTCATGGAACTTCCCAATTGCCCAAGTTACCATAGTCGAGTGATCCTTCTGAACTGGTCCAGTCTTGTCACTGCGATAGTTGCTGTTGATGAAGTATGCTGTGCCACCTGAAACCACAGAAACACTGATCCAGGATTCTTCAATCAACAGGAGGATAGAAGCACATGAGGTTTCTCAAAATGTCTCAGGCACACTTTGGCATCATTTTCTTGTCGGTCTTCGTGACCTTTGTCTTCATGGCAATGGGCTTTTTCGGGCGAAACATGGAAGGCCGGGCCTGCTGGGTTTTGTTTATTTTTTCACTCGCTGAATGCACGGGTTCTGCTGGACGTATTTGGCCCCCCATCTGCCCAGACGGTTTGAGAGTTATATACTAGGTATAGTCCCCTCAAAGGGATGAACATTTTCAGGCTGCCGGTGCTGAGACAGTGAAGGGTCACTTAGAGAAGTCATGTTGATTTGACGAGCGGAGCTACCTGGGACGATAGTAACCAACGCATGAGAGGACCAACCCTTCTTCTCCGCCAGTTTCCTGGTTTTTGGAGTTTTCTTCGGCACACTGGGACGGTTTGCAGGTGCTTTGCACGTCATCCGCACTGGTGGAACATTCTTCTTCCGTGCACTTCTCTTCTTCCCCGGCTTTCCAGCTTTCCTTTATTCAGATCTACGTAACTGATCTAACCAAAAACACACCGACCCATCCCAAAGAAATGCGGCCGCAGAAAGGAACAAAGCAGAGTTCGCCACCGGATGGCGCCCACCACACCGCCGAGCTCGCCGAGCTCGTAACTCTCCCACCACCCTCGCGCGACCGAACAAACCGCTGCCAAAAGACATCAAACAACAACAACAACAACAACAACAACAACAACTTCTTTCTTTCTTTCTCACGCAATGAGGGGATCTCAGCGCTGCCACATCGTCGAGTTCAGGGACGATGGACTCTCAGGGAGTCATGGCCAACATCCATAGCTATGGTTCAGCTATTCAATCATCAGGGTATCGGGAAGGAGCGAAGGGTCAATCAACCCAACAAAAACTCAAAATTCCCAATCTCACATCCAACTTCAAAAATTTTTCCACTCTCACTTCATTCACTGACAGCCGCGAGAAGGCCACGACAGGAGCAGCTGCGCAGCTGCAGGTGCGGCCAGGCAGCAAGACAGCGGCAGGCGCCAGCGCATTCTATTATGCCAAGGCACTATTGATGCGATCGAGGAGGGACTCCAACTGTTCATTCGCTGCATGAGGAAGATGATCTTCCTCATCCGTCTCATAGGTGACGCCTGAACTGATGCCAGGCGAGGTGGGAAAAGGCTCTGTGTATTCAGCCTCAGTGATCTCAACCTCAGTGAGGGGCAGGAGCCACAAAAGGACCACACGTTCTGAGCAATGGCCGGCAAGGAGGGGATCCATGTCGGCCTGCGATTGTCATCACAGTGCCACCATCCCCGAGGTGGCTGTTTGGAGTCTCGAAGGTAGGCATGAAAGTGCCCGGACATGCCACTCCCCAAATGAATAATGATGCTCTGCACACGATGGCCAATCCAGATCGGCTCTGCACTGCGGCTCCACACGAAAAAGGGAAGCTGAACATCGTCTTCAAAAAGCAGCCGGTGGGTGTTGCCTAGGTGCGGTGTGAGCATACAGTATCGGTCAATATGCAGAACCTTGGGACCTGTCAGGTGCAAGAATGCGCTTTTCATGGACAATGCATGAACCCAGGTGCCCAGAAGGGTGGCAAGGGAAATGCAATCTGAGTCCAATTCTTCAATGCGTTCCAACCAAATGGGCAGCTCTTTTGATCCAGCGTCTTCGACATGGATTTTACCATCAATGCTGAAGCGTCGCTCCCATTGCATAGAAGTCAGGTCCGAGCCCATCCAACATAGGAGTTCTCGGGTGAATTCAGCAACATCCCGTGGACGCCCTTCCTCAGGAAGTGAAGTCATGAGGGAGGCCAGTTCAGAGCGCTGTGCCACATGAACCGGTTCAGTGGTAGGTGCGGTCAAAAACATGGACAATGCTCGTAGCCCCCGACCAAAGTCCGCCAAACAAAATGCCGGCCTCGAGAGAAGACACCACAAGGCACATCTAAGCCCCGCATTGAGCCAGCAAAAGTGCTGATCATTGTGGAATGTCATCTTGGTCAGCTGATCAAGATATTGTTCTCTCAGCGTCTGCGTCCTTGTTGGAAGACTTGTCGCTGGAGTTCCTGTGCTAGACCAGAGCGTTGGAAGCTGTGAATCCGAAGTCTGCCCGCCACCAGCAGCCATATGGAGCTGTTCACCAAGCTGCGGACCTCCACCATGAGAGCGTCGTTGCGAGTCGATAGCTGCAGCTTCCATGGAACCACCGTGTTCGGTGCATTTTCGTCCATCTTGGCTGATTTGAGGGAGTGGAACCGAATCAGGTTGTTGGGTTCCTGGAAGGCTTGCTGAATCCGTTTCAGGCGTGCCCCCATGTCCTGGTGGGAGATGCTCGGTTCTGCTGAGATCTCGGTCTTCTTGAGCTTGGGATTCCATTTCAGGAATGGAAAGCTGCCATCCTTCAGGATTACACCGGTCTCCTGGGATTGTTGCTGGAAGGTGGAATCGCTCGTGAGCTGCTTGCGGAAGGTCTCGAAGCGCTTGGTCAGTAGGTCCATCAGAGCCTGAGCCAGGTGTAGGCGGAGGGCTTGGGTAGGAGACTCCATGTCTTTCCACTCGCGGGCTTGGTGGACAAGGTGTGGAAGGGCTCCTCGGGGACCGGAGTTCAGGTACATCACAAAGCTGTCCTGACTGGCTGTGGCATTGATCGAGTCCTCGTGCCGCAACAGGAGGGATGCCATGGTGCGACATAGGCTGTTCATGTTCGGACTGCTGTCTCGGGTGGAAGAAGTTTGTGATCCGCTCCCCCGAGGATGATGGTCCTTGCGTCGCTTGGCCCGATGGTCCTCCTGTTGAGCCGCCATGGGTTCGAGCATGTTTAGGAAGGCGTCCTCCATCTGGTGCATCTTGTCCCCGTCGGTGACTATGACCGCCTCCATGGGCCACGTCCGGCCGGGTTTGAAGCAAGGCAAGACCCAAGTTGAGTACAACAGGGCATTTGTGTTGAAGACAGTCCCAAACCGTTTCATCATGCAAATTGTACGGCTCAGTCAAAGTGCACATGGGGCATGGAGTAGTCCAATCAAGATGAGTTCTTGCATTGACACCAATGTGCTTGAGCAAGTTGGGCAACATGGCATACTGAAGTCGATGGACAGTCGTCATATGTTGCCATAGCATGTCAGGTGAGTCGTGATATTTGCACAAGGAGCAGTGATGGCTAAGGCCAGTGCATGAGCTGGGTGTCGTCCAAACCACATGAAGTCCACCGTTGTGCATTTGCGGTGGCAGCCATGGTGCCTCGGAGTACAGCAGGGGGTTCAGTTGAACCAGGCGAGCGATCATGGATTCAGATATCTGCCATGGCAAAATCAAGGCCCACTTCCGTGGATTGAGATGATGAATGAGCATTCCGATCTGTCGCCAAGCCATGCACTTGTGCCCCTTAGGCTGCCGCGCACGAGAGGGGTTGCAGATGCACGTGGGAGCAAATTCCTCGATCAAGGCAACCATGGTGTCAGCTGCGCGATAGTGAATGCCATGTTGAGATTGCAAGTGCCGAGTGAGATCTGCAGCCCTTGTGTGGGAGTGTCCACACATGCAACAGCATAATGTCATGCGGAGTTTGATGTTATCGTCCATCTCCGGAAGAATGGTGAGGGCCTGACCAGTACGAAGAGCATCCCTGTATTGTTCATCTTGTCGAAGGGTGCCAACCTGGTCAGCAAGCGGATCATGACATCGGCAGGAACGTCTGTTGATGTGTCGCTGAAGTTCCCATGTTTCACAGAACTGACTCTTGCAATGGTTGCACGTAGGTTGACCCAGCACTGAGTCACGGATACAATGGTACTGACGATGTTCATGGCGGAGGTGAGCATGAAGTTCTTCAAGTTGCATGAACGAGTCAGCACACATTGCACAAACATGCAGAGGGAGATCAGGATCACGACAGTTGGATGGATGTGCCCATATTTGATTCGCATCATCTGAAGATGACAACCGTCGGGCCTCCTCATCAGGCAGGAGAGAAGCTTGCGTAGCAGCCACATGAATCTCAGCATGAAGAAGGGCCAGTTGCAGGAGTACCTTGCATTGGTGACCATTGACAAACTGAACCTGACAATACATGCATGGTGACTGAAGTGCATCTTTCCAATGTTGGTAGTGTCCCATTGCATGAAGAGCTAGCTCTTGATGGTCAAGTTGTATATGGTGTAGCGCATCTTGGATACGTCCATGTCGTTTGCCACATTTACCACAATGGCACAGCAAATAGCCGGTCCATTCCGGATGCGCAAGCACAGCATTAAGATCTCCAGCCTGCAGTGAGGGCCAAAGCCCAGTCCGAAGAGCTTGAAGATCATCGTTCATAGCCTGAGTGTGATCAAAGGAGGCACATTTGTTATATTGGATGTGACGTTGCAATGCGGTCCAAGCAGGAAACTGGTGGAGACAATGACGGCAGGTGGGTCGGCCGTCGAGACTATCTCGGTCGTACCTGAAGACGTGAACCTGAACATCAAGGACCTGATGATGTTTGTATACATGTTTACTTAGCGAAGCTGCACTGGCAAATTGGAGGGGACAGAGCTGACACTGGAATCCGGGCTCGGTCCAAACAAGGTCGCTGGGCTCTCCTTGCAGAAAGACATTGAGATGCTGCAGGAGATTGCGAGTTCCATGACAGTCACATTGTTGAATAAAATCATCTTCTGGCAAACACATCTTCCGATGTTGAAGTCCTCGTAGAAGATGAACACAGCTCTGGTGCATGTAGACCGCGGGTGGGTCTAGAGTATGCTGTGAGAGGAACTGTTCATGAGTTGTGTGTGTATCAAATGAGTGACTGTGGTAAATCATGCGAATCATGGTCGTCTGAACCTGCAGCATCTTCTTGAGCCCTGTCTGAGTGGAGCCCACTGCCCAAATGCCATAACACATAGTGCTGCGAACAATGCTCTGCCACAGCTGGAGTTTCTGCCCGGTAGTGAGGCCTTTCTTTTTGGAGTAGAGCCACATATACAGGCGTTTGTTCGCCCTTCGCGCAATGGCCAAGCGGTGGTCCATGGTCCGTTGCTCAAAGCATTGGTATGACAACCGAATACCCAAGTAAGGAATGTCAGAAACAGTGCGCAACGACGTGACCAAACCGTGGGCCCGTGGAAGTTGAAGAAACCA